CCCCCCCTCCCGGCCCCCTCACTTCACCCGGTCATCGCTTTCTTTCTTCTCTCGTTGATAAGCTTTTGTCTCTCCCTTTCTCTCGCTGTCTCTCATACGAGATTTCCTTTTGACTGTGTTCTTCTTTTTCTGAATAACTCTCACTCACTACTAGAACTCACTTTTCTGACAGGAGGTTACGATTCTGGACCCCTTTGGTGGCCGCCATTGATTTCGTTCAAATATTTGTCAAGGAAAGTGCTCACTAGGAGATAACTTCCTCATAAATCAGGGCACTGTAGCTAGCTCTAACGGTTCCGGTGATACACGTGCAAGGATGGTGATCAATCAATACGTTTAGGGAATTTTTAATTAAATTCGCGTAAGATGGGCTTCAAATCCCCAACGGTTAGCTAAAACCGGTGCCAAATAATGACGAAGGGTGTAAATTAAGTAGCTACGATTTAAAGCTTCATACAAATCTGACTATGTGTCACCGGAAAATCTTCCCTCTCTCCCGACTGTGTACACGGCAAAGGCGACGTCCTGATTTTCATGACGGTTTGGAAAAATCCATGACGTCTTATGGAAGAAATACATGCGGAACGTCATGGTTTTACCAAACCTCATTAACACCAGCACGTCGTTTTTACCGTTTACCTCAGCAGCCTCGTGGAAGGGGGGTCGAATGCAAAACGTCTCCGGTGTGACAAGTGCATGCACCGTAAGACAAGCGGTCACCATCCACCATTCTTATCCGCAGCAGCCTAATGCGTGCGGCAACGTGAAGCCAGAAGCTCACATCAGACTAGCCAGCTTTCAACCAGGTCGGCTTGAGTCGGCAAATTCCACTCCCTAAGCAGTGGAAAGATAGGGTACGTACGAGTGTCTGTGAAGAGCGGAGGCCAAGGCGGCTTGAAACATCCTTATCCGACACTGATATGATATCGAAATATGATTACAATAAAAATGCTGGTGCATGTCATTTGATTAAGTCTGTCCCTCATCTTGCAGGGCTTCTTAGTAAAAGCAAAGGACAAGGCAAGGAAATTTGCAGAGCCTTGGTGGTGCATTCAAGCCACCCATTGCTTAAGCAATACAGAAAAGATAATACATCTAATCCTAAATGCATCAAAACAAGAGACCGAGATGAAGACCATGTTGAGTAGCTCTAAGAAGACTCTGTTGAGTATCTACAGAAAAGTCTGTCACCTCACCTGCAGAAAAATGTAGCCAAGAAACGGTTAAAAAGAATGTCTGAGTTTTAAAGCAAGGAAAAGAACAGTTAGAAACGACTACAATTTGATGAAAACTACTCAGATTTTGAGGAAGTCTTCTCCAGAGGTGAGGGAAAATCCCACGTTTCAAACTGTCTCAAAATCTCGTGACTCACAAGATATGAGCGTCCCTCAACTACGTCTTTCCTCAATAAATCAGACATTTGTTTCCCGTATTCCGTGGATGATCCTTTCACATCTGCTCCGGCTCAGTTAAGCGGATCGGAGTAGTCCACTACTACAAAATACACCTCACCTCAAAATACATAGTGTCGTTTGTAAATAACCATGAACAGTCCTGAAGCACACCACCAGAGGTGCAGTTATCAACTACCCGGATGGTGCTTGACACCTATACTTTGCACGAAATTGGCATTGTGGTTGTTGCGGCAGTTTCTCACTCACGCACTGGAAACGCAAGTGTGTGAATGTCGCATTTTCTAGGAAAAATTTACGTCTACTCCCTTAAGTGTACGAATGAATGTTCACACACCTGAAAGTGTCCGACATTCACACACTTGTGCTTCCAGTGTGGTGTGGGGTAGATACGCCGTGTTCTCACTACTTGATGGCCAGCGTCCAGGGTTGCTTAAGGCATTGTAGGTAGAGTACTTAAGGGATGGATACTGTACCAGTGATGGACACTTTTCTCGATTTGCAGCCAAACTTTTCACTTTACGATCTTGGCAAGAAACTTATGTTCTAGTACGGCCCCTACCTGGGTAGCGGCGCTGCGCCGTGCGTGCTTTGAGTTAGGGATGAGCGACATGGTTGCACGACGCATAATCCCCGGTGCCCTTCGCGCTTGTCAACACTATTGCGACCTACTACAGCTCGAGCCTGAGCTAAACTCACTCGATCCGCCGAACGTTTCCCTGCAGATTCACCAAACACCAACATGGCCTCTCATTCAAATACTCGCCTCCCCCCCCCCCTTTCCGGTGCTGTACTGCACCCGGACTGTACCGCGGAGCGGAGTCCTAACGCTCGCCGTGTCACCGCTACCGCCTGCCTACCAGTCTATTTATACCCGTAAGGAGCGCTTGGCATTGCGCCTGCCCGCGGTGCGGCAGGATTGGGGGACGTGTAAACGAACGGAGAGAGAAGGATGGAAAGAAAGAAGGGTGGACGAACCAAACTCAAAAAGCCGAAGCGGAGCCGAAGAGAGCCGACCCCTAGCCCGAACACGCGGCGGGACAGTGGGAGAAGTCGAAAAGAGGAGGAAGAGAGAACGACACTGGGGAGCAAGCGAGGACGGCAGGAGGCAGAGGAGAGGAGCACACAGAGTGCCACCTGGTGCCACGCGGAGCCGGCGCGGTCGCCGCCTCGTCAGTCGTCCGCGCGAACGCCGAGCCAAAGCGCAAACGGCGAGAGCAGCCCCCCACCACCGCACCACGGCGTGACGTCACGCGCTGCCATTGGTCGAGCAGTGCGAGTAGGAGGGGCGCGTGACGGACGCGGGCGAGGCGGAGGGCGCGATAACCGACACTGCCGGTCGGGCGCACAGAGAGGGAGAGAGAGACTGAGACCCTCCAGTTGCGACTCAGATGCCGTCGTGTGAAGAAGTGTGCGTTCGCTCCAGAGCGGCGCGGCCCGGTGCAAGTTGTTTGTTGATGGTCTGGTAGTGCTTGTCGTGGACGCGGGTGAGCCGCTGAAGTGCCGTACTGAGTCGTTACCGCCACCACTGTCCGCGCATCGCGCCAGCCGGTAGTTCGCGTGTGTCGTCTGTTGTGGATAACCTAACCTCACCATGTGTATTGGATACCCGGCGCCGGCAACCTCATTTGGATAACATTTTGGATTACCAGCACGCCTCATTTGGATTAATCCGTCATGGCCGTCGAGTAAGTACCACATTTAACCGTTGCGAAAAGCAGCAAGCCGGGGATCACAATTTTTGGTGTTCGGCTCGGGGTTCGGTTCCGACGGGGAGAAGCCGAACGAGCGCTCGGCTGACTCGGCTCCACTCGGGTCGGCCGTGCCGCGCCGCGGGGCGGGGTGGGGCGGGGCGAGGCGGGACGAGGCCGTCCAGATGAAGAAAAACCACTGTCCCTGGCAGCGCGAGCCGGCCAGAGGGGCGCGCCGGCGCGGGCGAGGTGGGGTGGGGCGGGGCGAGGCGGGGCGAGGCGGGGCGAGGCGGAGAGGAAGTGGAGTGAGGGGGAGAGTGCGAGGGGAGCAGCCGGGCATGCGCGCTGGCCGTGCTGGCTCCAAGGCTGGCGTGCCGTGCCGTGCACAGTCGGCACGCTGTGTTTACTTTCAGGCCACGTTAGAAAAAGGGCGACCATGCAGTTCGGGCAGGCCCCGCTGGGGGTTGGGAGAAAGCATCCACAGGCGAGGCCCGCGCGCTTTCTGCAGGCCAAGAGCGAGTATGAAACCCTGAACCGTGTCAGTTCGAGTTACAGCGAGGCCTGGTCTACAATTAGGATTAGGGTCGGGCACGTTGGGGAGGGAGGCAGCGGGCGG